AAGGACCATGCTTTATAGTATATTTTTTCTTGAAGGTTTCAAGAATTTTATCAATATCTACTTGAGATTCTGCGGCAATAGCACAGTCATCCACATATACAGCAAAGAACTTATTTTCGCCTGGTTTGGTAAACAAGCACCAATCAGTTTCACATCGTCTCCACCCTGTTTCCTTTAAAGTTTTGGTGACCTCTTCGTTCCACAGTCTAGCAGCTTCATCGAGACCATAAAGACCTTTATTTAACTTCCAAACGGTACTAGGGGATCTTTCTTTAAAGCCAAGAGGTGTGTTCATATATACCGATTCTTCCAGTTTTCCATAAAGGTAAGCAGTTTTCACGTCTAACTGATTTGCGCATAAATTCTTTGCAGCAACTAGTGCACAGAAGAGTTTTACTGATTCAGCACGTACAGTTGGTGAAAATACTTTATTAGGATCTGCACTTGGTAACTGGTCTCCACGAGCTACGAGCCTTGCTTTATATCTGGTTGGGTTACCATCCGAGTCATGTTTTAAGGTAAATATCCACATTGAATCTACTATTTTTTTTTCAATTGGTATTGAATTTTTATTAACCACCTCATAAACTTCTCTTTCCTTTAGGGATTCAAGCTCGTCATTTATAGCTTCAGTACCTTCTACTGAAACCAAAGCTTGATATAGCCTTTCAAAAGCAGCCATATGCATTTCTACGCTCTCTCCACTTTGTTTTAAATTTCTCAATTTTTCCTTGAAATTTTCTTGATTGACAGCTCTTTTTGATCTATGCTCACTTTTTAGAGATAAATAGTTCTCCCTGCCACTGTTTTGTTTTGAAATGAAGACAATCTGGTCTCCACTGATTGTTAACAAAATAAAACTATTTAGTTGTCTGTTTTTCTTTAATTTCAGCTTGAGTTGCATTTGATTTAACTGGTTGTTCGTAATTTCCTTCCAGAAGATCAACTAGGTCATCTCTTAACGCTGCACCATATAACTGAAGGTCCCAGCTTTCCCAATTAGAACTATTTAGTTTAGTAAATTCAATATTTTCAGTATCCATATTGTTGTTAGCAATTTCGACCTTAACCTAAGAAAATAATTATAATTAAATAGCTGATGAAGAAATGCATCAAATTATTTAATTTTTAACAATAAAAATAAAAAATTATATTTCTAACACCCTTTTATATTATTTTCTTCTTTGTTTTTTTTTTTTTTTTTATTTCAACTACCTCATCACTGAGTTACTAAATATTTTCAAATTAATTGTTGTAGAAGGAGGTGGAGAGTAAGTGTAAGCAGCATTTTTATTTAGTTTTTCAGGATGTGTTTTTGCTAATTAAAAGCCGTTCTTGAGTCTTCATCAACGATGTTAAAATCAGAGTTGTGATGCCCGCTTAGTTCATCTAGCACTTTGCGGCTAGCCAGTTCAGTTTGGAATTTATTTTTAAAGTTCCTTTTTTGTTGTCCCGGAGGAGGAGTTCTTAGCGTTCTTGAGGTGCTACTCATTTATTAGGTAGCTGTTAACAGTTGTTTAAACACCTTCTAATTGGTTGAGTTTTTTGTAGTATATTAGGATCCTAAGATACTAAAGAGTTAGTATTAATAATTTATAACCTTTATTTCGTAATATTATAAAATTACCTAAGATGTTAAAAAGGTAATTTTAATAATTAATTACCTTTTTAAAAAAAAAACTCGTTAAGGTTTTTATGGTTTATAAATTGATTTTACATTAAGCTTTTAGGATTATGTTAACCCTAATCTACCTCAACTTCATTTTTAATGGCAGCACAACTCTAAATTTGTTGTCAATACTGCATCTACCAAAAAAACTTGGCTTAATTCTGACAAATAAATTATAGCTCTTACTGTTTGAACGAGCACTTAAAAAAAAAAAAAAAAAAAAAATTTAAAAAAAAAAATAGAAGTAGAAAAATAAAAAAAAATAAAATAAATAAAAATAAAATAAAAAATTAAACTAATTTTGAATTTTAAATAATTTTATTTTAATATAGATTAGGTTTCAAATTTGAAAGAAAGATTACAGTTTAAATTCAAGTTTAAATGCAATAATTGGAAAAGGAAAAGGTTAAAAGATTATTTAAAAATCAAAGATCAAATCATAAAAATTCAAATAAAAAGATTGATTAAATAATTATCAGTGGATATAAAATAAGACCCTATTTTTACTACTGAGTGTCACCAATCAACTTAAAAAGATTTAACTTACATTATTCACAAATAGAGATTAAAGAAATCTAGAAGTTATATCTTTAGTATGAAGAAATTTCAGTACAACACATGAGGAAGATTAAAAAGTAAAAAAATATTTATTTTAACTAATTTTTTACATTATTTTTACATATAATTAGGTAAACAGAAATATATTTTTATAAAATAAAATTATGATATATTTTTTATTAATTTTATTTATTATCTCTAGGAGATAATTTATAAACTACACTGGTTTCTAAAATGGCATCATATAAAAATGAATTGAGTTATTAAGTAACAAAAGAGCTATAGTCTTAAAAGTACCGGTTATCAAATTCAAAAACTAACTGCTTGGATTATGGTGTGGTTTTTTCTTTCTGTTATATCTTCATTCTCAGTTGGTGTGCGAATGACTTCCATTATTACCTTTTGTCTGCAATGAGAAATAAAATCTTCATTTTTACATTCTCCACCTTCATCTGAATGAAATACTTTTATTTTATTATCAGTAGTACTATGTGTTGTTAAAAATGTTTTTTTATTCAACAAATTTTTGAAAGACATCAGATTTTGATCTCATTAAATATGTTTTGTATATCTTGATTACTTATCAATAAATACTACATAATAACTTTTCAAGTTCTTGTTTGCTTTGTAAATGGTCCTTAATATTATTTCCACTTAATTTTGGTGCCTTTTTGTAATTAATTCTTTTTTTTTGTAGTGATTTTTGCTCTGTTACAGCGATCTCAATTTGCTATAGGAATATCAATGTATTTTACAGTTTTTATTATATTATTTTTTATTAATAATTTTATAGATAAGTAGTAACAAGACAAAGTCTGTAAAGTAAAGCTAGTCCTTTCAAAACTTTTTTTTGTTACTTTCATTACTAAGTCTGGTTGGACAGTTTCTTTTCTAGGTAATATAAGTCTTGTTTTATAATTTAATAATATTGATCCTCTTTCAATTATGAATTTGCATGTGTTATGATCAATTACTACAATTAAATTTTTCCATGTTAATTTTTGTATTGACATAGATTATTTGTTAATTCTGTTAATAAACATCTGTAATAGTAACTAATTTTTCTTTACTTCGAATTCTATTTTTCTTTTTTTGGATATCCATTCTGGATAATGCAATAAAGTTAATTATAAACATAATGATTTGTAAACAGTTTGTTGCTCTTGAGTCAATTAATAATAACATTAAACTTTTATTTATTTTTTCAGATATCATAAAATTCTATTTTGGTAAAGTTAAAAGAAATATTACTGAAGTTCTATTCCACCTTTTTGGTTTTTTATTCCTTAAGTTTAAAATTAACAAATTATCAATTTTTTTATTCAGTAATTTTACCATTAACTTCGTCTATACCACTTCAGCGCTTTCAGTTTCAGTCTGATTTTCTTTATGGATTTTAGTAACCTTTTTATATCTTACTCCATCAACCATTGATATATCCCTTCCTTCAATTTTTGTAACGCTTTAGGTTATTGCAGTTAAATTCTTTTTTTCATTTTTTGAATTATCCACCAATTTTTTGCTTACGCACACAAATGAATTTTTTCTGTTCAATTTGAAAATAATATATTTTATTAATGTCATCTCTTGTACATTTTCTGTAAAATTAGTATTATTTCTGTTCTTTTCCTAAAGACTTTTAATATTTTTTTCAATACTTTGTCTGTCATGTAAATGGTTATTAGTCTTTGAAACTGTTCTTTCTGGAACAGATAGCTTTAAAATGATCTAATATTCTCTGCTGTTCTTGCATTTTCGCATGCAGTTCCGAAATGATTGTCTAACTTAACCTATAATTGAGAAAAGATTTGCACCATTCGTTTCTGGTCTTTAAGTCTTTTTCATAATCTTGCTTTGTAATATGTAATGTTCCTGTAAAAAAGTAGATGACAATTTAAAGTACCACTTTCAGTAAAATTTTATTACATCTCATTGGCTGTAAAAAAGGATTTTTTATATTATTTAAACAAAAAATAAGGGTTTGGAGTTTTATACAAGATCGACTGAAAAATAATGATATATTTGAAAGCAAAAAATTTTCTGAATTTTTTCATGTTGAATCATTAAAAATAAAAATAGCAATCACTGGTCTCGATCCAGTGACCTCAGGGTTATGAGCCCTGCGCGCTTCCAGCTGCGCCAGATTGCTTCCTGTAACAGTACCTTTTGTAATACTTGAACTAAAGAGCTTGAACTGGTGTTAGAGAATCTTTCTTGATATTTTGAAACCACTTTTTATACAATCAAATTAATAATTATTTTTATCAATAAAATTTTTTTACGACTCTAATATATAATATTGACATTTTTTTAAAAATTTACAGTTATTTGACTGTTCTGCAATTAATAATTTTTGAAGTATCAAGTTAATATTTTTTTTATTTACAAGAAATTAATAGTTGGCATTAAGAATCATCAAAAGGCATAAGAGTTGTTTTGAACTTTTCAAATATTTTAATTGTATTTAAAAACCACGGCTAATAAAGATAGAATTTATGAAACTCCAAAGTTTCTATAGCTCGCAAAAAAAAATGAAAATTTTTTTTATTTATCTCAACTATGAAATTTTGTTTCTTTCCCAAAACATATCATCCACCACCAATACTTTTAGTAATTCCGAAACTACTGTAACATTAAGCGAGTTTCCAATCATTCGCCAATTTTGGTTTTTGTTAGTTTTTGAAGTATTAAATTTAAACAAAGTTTTCTCCTGAAAAAAGGATTCAGATTTTATCGGAAACCCATTCAGATAACAAACTTCAAGTGGCGAAAAATACCTAATTCCAAACATTTTTATAAAGTTTTCTAACTTTTCTGTATCTGTTTCTTTTTTCGAAGATTTCTTGTTAAACTGGTTTAACATGTTGTTTTCGAGTAAAATTGTTTCATCTTCTTTGAATACAAATTCCTTATAATAGGCTATTGGATCTAAGTTTAAATTTAAAGTTTGTAAATAAGAACCTATGGAAACATATTATTATTTAACATTAAAAAAAGAAAAAAATGTATTCTACCTGATCCAACTCCGTGCCTTCCGTAGGCTTTAGTAAAGCAAAAAGAATAAGTGTCAGAAGGTTTAACAATAACACCCACACTAAAGGTTTTTCTATTTTTAAACATTTTTGAAGGCACCAAAAACTCATCCAAATTTTCTTCTAGTTGATAATTTGAAAGAGTATTAATATCATTTTCATTTTTTTTTAAATGCCAATCCAATATTATGTCACTATCTTTATACTGTAATTGAGAAACTGATATGGAATTTTTTCTCGCTAACAAATAGTATCGATTTCTGTCATTGGGTATATTAAATTGAAGTGGGCTTAAAATGAATTCAAAAAACTGATAGTTTTTCCTAAGCACTTTCAAAATTCGTGATTTTGCATCAGAATGCTAAAAAAAAAATAAAATAAAATAAAAAAATGATTATAATTTTTAAAAAAACCGCAAAATTTGCAACATTTTCAATAAAAATGTATTCAGGTTTATTATTTAAATTTGGTAATAGCTTCTCAAATAAATGAAATAGTGCTGTGCATCTAATATCTTTGGAATCTTTTCGTAATCCTCCTTGACTACAAAAAAAAATACTTGATATACAACCTTGATATATTTTAATATTACGTAAACGGTTGGCAAGGAGGAGAGAGCTTGTTGGTTCGGCAAAAAAAAAAACCCAAATTTTAAAACAAAAAGATGTTTATAATTTCATACGAGCCACGTATTAGCAGATAATTTTTCAATGTAATCGACCTTTAGCATTTCAATTGAAATTTGATTAGGTTTGACATTGAAGTTATACTCATAAGTTAAATTCGCAGTAGGATTTATATCAAAACTTTCCAAAACTTTTCCTATCAGGTTAGATTTTTGTAAAGCGTAATGCATTCCTCCTATCCCAGAAAAAAATTCTAGGCATTTTAATTCCATCATATCTAAACAACGACTTTATTTGCTACTTGAAAAAAGCTTAAAAAAATAAAATAAAATAAAATTAAAAAAAACAAAATTTTTGTTATTACAAAAGAATGTACCAAAAGGGAGTACACAATTCATATTTTAATCAATAATTTTGTATTTTAACTTGCCTTAACTAGTATGTCAAGCAAGTTCAATGTGTTTTTCATTATTATTTAAGAATGCTTACTTTTTATTAATTTTTATTTCATTATTGCTGACCACTGAAGGTGATTTGCTGAGTGTCATTAACTGCTGGATGTATCATGTATTTCTTCCTTTCTTTAAAAGATTCCTAATCTTCCTCAAATTCCTCTAATTTCTTCAAATTTTGCTGAGGAATAGAGACTATACAACTACCATAACTTCTATAAGAGACTATAAGACTACCATAACTACTATAAGAGACTATAAGACTACCATAACTACTATAAGAGACTATAAGACTACTAACTACTATAAGAGACTATAAGATTACTAAAAGACTCTACTAAGTAGATAAGAATAAGGCTTTTATGAAATGGGGCAATGCCGAATATTGTTTATATCTTTGTTTTATTCAATATTTGTCAAGATTTGTCTTATGTTTTTATATTTTAATTTTTGGTTTTTAAAGTTTAGGGGAAGTTAAGTGGTAAACATTAAATTTACCGTAAAAATTATTGGAAACTTTCGAAAAAATATGTGGTAAAATCTGATAAAATTGAAGGTTGAATTGAGAATCCACTCAGCTTATTGATGCCATTAAATACTGCTCAATTTACGATTGCTAAACCAAACTTTTTTAAATGCATATTTTTGAAAATGGAATTTCAAATTCAAGAGTTGAAACATTTGTAAAAAAGATTATTAAAAAGGGAGAGCGCAAGTGAGGGAAGCCTTGCTTGATGTTTCAAGCATTTTTTTGGAATTTTGATGTATATAAATATTATCGTAAAAGAGCAGAAAATATTTTGGCCAACTTCAAATATTAAGTATGGAAGTGGATCCTACTACCGTCTTAATATCTGTTTCTTCAGGTACACATTCAAATTCTTTTTACTTTTATTTAAACTTTTTGCAGGATTGACAGCTTTTTCAGCGTTTACTTGCTGCTTAGTTCCTTCAGCTTACTTTTTAGCTTACATATATTCCAGAGAATTAACTAAGAGAGTTTCTTTTCAACTAACTGTATTACTTTCCGTCATCGAAATCTTTTATTCTCTTGCTCAAGTCTTCTCAAACTACTACTCTACTCCTGGTTTTTTATGCAGCTTCGGTGTATTTTTATTTGTTTTCTTTTGGTATAAAAATAAAAATTATTTAATTTTTATTTATATTTAAAAAGTCAATGGTCAATTTTAGTTTCAATGTTTATTGCCATCAACCTTCAACTGGTGTTTGTGTACAATAAGCGAAAAAATAACATGCTGATAAAATATATAATGGGAAGTTTTTTTATTGCCTTGGCGCTGTCCTTACCACCTTTATTCCTTGGTGCTTACGGTTATGACGAAACTGCTGATTTTTGTTGGTACACCAGAAGTTATGATGTAGTTTTTGCTGGTTTGTTTATTTCTCCATTCAAATGGGCCACGAATTGTAAGAATAAAAGGTATAAATATAACTTATTAACGGAAACTTTTGTATCTAGATCTCCCTTCGATAATATTCATTGCTTACAGTACTTTCGCTTCTGTTAGAGTAATGTTAAGACTAAGACGTGCACAACTTGATTCAATAAATGTTAATCAAGATTCAAAAAATTCTTCTCAAAGACAAAATGCTAAAACTCAAAAAATTGTTGCAAAATTAGTTTCCAGGTTAATGTTTTATCCTTTGGTGCCTCTGATTTCTAACTTTTTCAATATTTATGGTGACTTAATTAAAAAAAATTTAATTTTTAATCAATTTTAGGTGAAGCTGACTATGCTATCTCCCATACAAATAAATTTTCATTATTGGTGCCAGCATTAACTGGTACTTCAATTCAAGGTCTCCTTACATCTATCCTATTTTTTACAATCGATCCTGCCTGGACAAAATTATATATTGATATTAGAAAGTATTATGATCCTCACTTTGAAGAAGCAAAATCATCCAGTGCTTCTAATACTGGTTCAGGATTTGAGTCTATGGGAAAAGCTGTTTCATCTGTTGGGCAAAATCAATACCACAACACATATCACCATTTTGAAGGTCCAAAGGTAATCAGTGAAATCAGAACTCCCGCTACTAAAGAAGGTGTTGCCAGATTTGTCTAAAAATAAAAAAAATTTTGAAATACAATCATACTATTGTTATCTATATAATTGTATTTATTTTAATGCAATAATGGATAAGTTTCTTTTATTAAAAATATACATAGATTTCTGTATTAAAAGTAGTGAAATAAAAAATTTGAAGAAAAAAAATTTTTTAAATCTCTTTAAATTATCGATAGCTTAAATTTTGAATAAGAATATCTTTTTTTTCAACTAGAGAATTCTAAAAAAAAAAAAAATACAATTAAAAAAAAAGAAACGAAATTTTTACAAATTCGCGAACTTTTTCCTCAAATTTGATTTTACTTAAATTAAAATCTGGTTTCAAGTCAAAAAAGCTTTTTAACTTTTCTTCCCTTATATTAACCAAACTATTTAGATTATTTAATTGCAACTCCAACTCTTGTAAGTTGGCGATTCGATTTTTATTCAATTCTCCGTCTTCCAACATATTTTCAAAAAATTCTAATTTTTCCCTGTATTCAATTTTTTTTTGTTCTAGCACTTCTATGTTTTTTTCAAATTCCTCCATTCGACTTTCTTGCTCAAATTTCGTCCCTTTACAATCTGAAACAGTTCTGTAAAAAAAAAAAAGAATTAGACTAGCTGTAGTTATTTGTATTTTCAGTGATTCATTATTTTTCTTCACGTTTATCCTTTTTTTTTTTTTTTAGGGAAAGTAACCTTTTTAACAAATTCAAATTATCTTGCATCTCTGCTAAACTCTTGTCTAAATTATTTTCCAACTTGGCTAAACGTTTTAATTCTTTTTTATTTTTGAATTCACTACTTTCCAATCTGGTTAAAGCACAAATGAAACTAAAAAAATAAAAATCAAAATTTAAATATTCACGTTATTTTTAAAATTTTTTTTTAACCTAGTGTCAGTATGATCTTTGAGTTTTAAAAGAGACTGAATTTTTATTAATGTTTTTAACACCTGCCCATC